CCCTGGAACTAAGACCATATTCTTAGTTGACACATTAAAAGGACAAATTCTGACCCAGTTGATACCTAGGATTAATTTCTTGCTAGAATTTTGACTGTGCTAAGGCCAAGTTATTGCACCCAACTGCAATAACTTGGCCTTAATTGAGTGATTCTTTAACCTGTTATTTCTAAGATCTCATTGTGGTCGTCCCAACATTTTCTATCCTCATTTTTTTGCAATCTACTTTACCTAGGTCAACCTTTTTTTCAGTGTGGTGCTCACAGGCTAGCCAATAAGACTTGTGAAGGTAATGTGGGTACCGGAGAGCAGGTCCTTTCAATTATGGCATACACCTTTATAATTCCTTGAACAGGAAGGTATCTCCATTGATAGACAGTAAATGAATGTTGAAGATGTTTTTATTCCATTCAACTTAGGGGGAAGGTATAGTTTAATCAAACGTGCAACAAACTTCTGTAGCCAGTCTCGATAAAAAATAGTTTTAACCTTTTTGCAGAATTGATTTTCTAGTCTAGTCTACCTAGTGGAGCTAAGATCATAATCAAATGTGATACAATAGTGTTTGTAGTGCTGTAGTAAGCTTTGTGCTGCTGTTTTCACTCCTTTTAGAAAGTAACATTTTAACAATATTGAGGTTAGTGATTTTTATGTATATTACCTTACGTTACAGGATTCAGCTTTAAAGGGGCTTTTAAACAGTAGCAAATAAGAAAATAAAGCACAACAATTATATATTGTTGCCTTCAAAACAACATACTCTAATCATCCTCCCTCTGCTAAGGACAAGTTAAAATTTGTTCCAAAACAGCATATGTCTTGAGAGAGAGAGAAGCACACAACTAGAGCAGAATAAATATCCGAGCACAATGCATAATTTATTATCCTGAAAGTTTACTAATATATCGTCTGACAACAATTCAACAACTTTATGGAATCATAATTCTAGAGGTAGACCCAAAGTTAAATATATGAATGTAACCCAAATGTTTAGCTTTTGTGGTGGCCTGATATTAATTACCAGTATGTACAATAAACCCCTGTTTATCTTGCATCCAACCAGTGAAATATCTTGAGTGACTAGATCAGTGGTTCTCAACCTGTGTGTCGGGACCCCTTTGGGGGTCGAACAACCCTTTCACAGGGGTCGCCTAAGACCATGGAAAACACATATTTTCAATGGTTTTAGGAATAATTTTATGGTTGGGGGTCACCACAACATGAGGAACTGTATTAAAGGGTCACGGCATTAGGAAGGTTGAGACCCACTGGACTAGATCATTCTTCTTCTATTTGTTCCCTTCCAGATATACTAGATTTCAATTCAAATCATTGATGAAATCCAGCATGGCATTTCATGGTTGCTGGAATATATAAGAGATTTGTCTTTCTATTTGTCTATTTGTCATAGGTGGCCAGTATGTCTGAAATGTTTACTTACTATTCCCAAAATGATTACTATGGGTGTTTAGGTAGAAAGTAAACATACAGTATGTTGTTGTGCCTAGCACAACATGTATGTGCTAGGCAACATGTGACAGCCTTTGGCAATACTCACCCACCCCAGTTTATCTACTTTTCTTAGCTTTTCTTAGGTAGGTAATCATATAAACAGAGCCTGTGATATCATTTATCATTTATTTTTTAAGAACAACTATGAGGCACAGATATTCTTGTGTAAGCAAGGATTTTAAACACTAGGGCATAGGACCCAGTGGTGGGTTGCAACTGGTTTAACAACCAGTTCTATGAGCGCTTGCTCGCAGCATTCAAAATAGAGCAATTTGAAGCTCAGCTGCTTACCTTCTAAGGCAGCCCTGGTCAGTAGAACAGCAGAGGCGCGGAAATCAGCTGTGCCATGTGAATCAGCTGAGCCATAAAGAAGGAAATATAGGACAGGATAGGGCGGGGGTGGGTGAGCGTGGCCAGCTGATGGTCGGAACTACCAGTTCACTAGAACCGGTCTGAACCAGTAGCAGCCCACCATTGATAGGACCTAACAAATATTGAACAGACTTTAGGAGTCACTTTGGGGATGCAAAGTTTAACATACATGGAGGCCTTGAAGAGTTGGCCAAGACATTCATCTCTACAGGGAGGGCAAATGTGGGGCAGATAAAGAAGAAAAGGGGATAAAGAAATTCCCAAACTGCTCCTGATGCATTTTTTTTTAACCAAAACAAGGTTTGTTACAGTAATCTATGGAGGATATGATTAATTCATTTTTCAAGGTAAGATGGAACCAATTGTTTAAATATGGAATCATGCTGTATTTTAAGTAAATACCATTTGAATCAATTTTAAGTAAATAACATTTGAATCCAATAACCAAAGACTAGTGAAACTCAGCAGTGCTTCCCCAATGTAAATTGGACTGAATACTGACTGGATTCAAGTACAATTTCCATTTGCAACCATTTGGATGAGCATGCATTGAAGAAGCATAATTTGTTCTATTGGCTTGCTTGTTTGTTTATTTATTAGATTTTTAATTCCGCTTTTATTACTTTATAAGTAACTCAAAGCATCGAACAAATATAATAGTCCTTCCTCCTCTTATTTTCCACACAACTACAACCTTGTAAGGTGGGTTGAGACTGACCCAAAGTCACCCAGCTGGCTTTCATGCCTAAGGCAGGACTAGAACTCACAGCCTACTGGTTTCTAGCCCAGCCTCTTAACCACTATACCAGACTGGCTCTCTTCATTCCATATTCCAAAGTTCCATTTTTCATAGCTGTACAATATTATTGGAGAGATCAGTGTACTGGTTTCCAGGGAACCAATGATGGACTGGAGACAACCTTAGTAGAATGAGGAGCTGGTAAATGGATTGTTGCTTTGGAATTCCTCTCCAGGAAAGGACCAGGACTACCTCCAAGTGCGCCATACAGTGGCTCCCCATGAGAAGACTGTAAGACAGTGGTCTCCACTTGGTTTTAGATTGCTAGGAATCTGGGAAAAGTCACCTTTGCCGAAGCTGCAGTATGGAGCTTTTATGGAGACAGGGTTTACATACTTCCTTTCTTACTCACTATCCACTTGGACTGTTGTTGCTAGAGTATTTTTTTTAAAAATACTCTAGCAACAAATACTCTACCCTGGTGGCTCAGCAGACTAAAAGCATTGTGATTAACACCAGCTGTCTGCAATTACTCTAAGTTCGAATCTCACCAGGCTCAAGGTTGACTCAGCCTTCCATCCTTTCTAAGGTAGGTAAAATGAGGACCCAGTTTGTGGGGGCAATAAGCTGACTTTGTATAAATATACAAAAGTATGAAGGCTATTGATTAACTCATTGTAAGCTGCCCTGAGTCTCCGGAGAAGGGCGACATATAAATCAAATTTTTTAAAAAATGTATTCAATGTTGGTGGTCTACTTTAACTTTCCGACAAATCCTAAATGAAGATTGGTCAATAAACCAAAGCAAAATTCAGATGTACTCCAGTTATAGCCATTCATTCAGCGACTGCTTAAAATTATGATGGCACTCAACAAAAGGATTTACAACCAGTCCTTAAATTTCTGGCCAATGCAGCAACCTTGCATTGGTCATGTGATTGCTGACCTTCTCCATCAGCTTCCCACAAGCAGAGTCAATGGGGACACTAATAGGTAGGTCACTAGATGCTTGGGTAAGTCTCCCCATGGCCTTTCCTCATTCACATACATAGACCCACCAGTGTCTTCCTTCCCCAGTCTCCCTGGGCTAACATACTAGCAGGAACCCACCAGAATCATCCTTCCCTGGGCCTTCCTGCACTCACTCACATGCACACACCAGGACCCTACTTTCCAAGTCTCCTTGCGTATGTGCCTTACTGTAGCACAACCCCCAATTCATGCACAGTCTGTACCAGGCCTCATAAGACTTTCCTCACCCCTCTACCCCATGCTCCATATATGGGACATTCTCCACTTTCTGCTTAATGACAGATGTGTCTTGGGGTTGCTACCGGTTCTCCCCGGTTCTTGCGAACCGGTAGTGGAAATTTTGAGTAGTTCAGAGAACCGGTAAATACCACCTCTGCCTGGCCCCACCTCCAATCTATTTGCTGCGCCCCGAGACCCAGCTGATCGGCTAGAAGGAAAAAAATCAGGGCTTACTTGACAAAGAAGAGGGGGAAAAAAGACACCGTAGCTTTAAATTGAGAAGCCAAGAAGCCTCCCAACTGATCGGCTAGAACCGATCCACTCCTTGTAAACCGCTCAGTTGTGGTAGATTGGCAATTGAGGCCAAGCTGCCTGAAAGTGGTTTCCAATGCTCTCGGTGGTAGCAGAGCGGCAAAAAACTGTTTAAACTCTTGCCGCGGTGCTTCAAAGGGCCGCCCTACAGCTGATCAGCGGTAAAAGATAGTGTGTTGGTAGACCAGTACACTCCAAAAACAAATAGGTAGACCTGTATGCTCCAAAAATAAATGGGTAGACTGGTAGGGCTCTGCAAGCAGTTAAAAGCCTGGTAGACCAGTACCTCTGCTAAATCCTAAAGAATTGTTTGGTCAAAAAACTCACAGTGACTCTGAGATAATCGAACAGACAATGGCTGAAAGCCAGATCAGCTAAAGATGTTTCTCTCAGGCCGACTGAGTTGAAACTGGGCCTGAGAGGAAGGAACAAGAGGTGTGCTCAAAAAACTATGACTCCCCTTGATGTGAGTCACATTGAGTTGACCACGCCTACCCAGTCACATGACCATCAATCCAGCCCACTGTCACATGACCATCAATCCACGCCCACAAAATAAGCCGCGCCCACAGAACCAGTAGTAAAAAAATTTAGAACCCACCACTGGGTTACAACAACAACTGGGACTATCTTGACTGCCGTTGTATCGCACTTTACAACTGCACCACTTTGCAACAGCAACCTCAGACCTAATTGTTGTCATAATTTGGGGGGCACATTTATTAACATGCAGGCTTTAAAAGAGTTAATGGTTCCTTAATCGTCTAGTTCAGAAGCTAGCATAGAAGTTACAAATGACACATGAATTTCTTACCTTTCGGTAAACAATCATATTTGGAGAACTCTCCTCTTGCTCCGTAGTATCCATATCACTAGATGCTTGGGCCATGATGAACACAATTCTTCTCAACCAGGCTGCAAAGACAAGAATAGTATGCAATAGTAAAATGTAAGAAAAGCAGCCTATAGAATGAATCCCAAAACCAAATACACAGATATAACAAGCTCTTCAAAATAAAATGTGCTCACCTGCCTTATTCCTGAAATATATGTGCTCTGTCAACATATTCTATTATATGATGCCTGAAAGGATTTGATTGCTCTGATTGACAACTCAGTTGTAATCATTTTGTTATATGCTACCCAAGCAATAATAAGTTTGTGGACTCTGTTACAATATAGAGTTCTTTTCTTTTGCTTTTTTAAAACTCTTGGTCATCTTTTAGTGACAAAAAAACTCAAGTCCACATCCACACTGGGTTTTCCTGGGATTTTTCATAAGAATTCTGCTATTATGGATGCTACCAGATCTCTGTGAAGATCAATGGACAACTTGGTGGAAGAAGCAAAAAAGAAAGAAAGAAAGAAAGAAAGAAAGAAAGAAAGAAAGAAAGAAAGAAAGAAAGAAAGAAAGAAAGAAAGAAAGAAAGAAAGAAAGAAAGAAATTTACTCAGTGGCAACTTGTGCGGATATTCTAGGATACGCTCTTGCTCTGGAGGTCAGCAATGGCAGACATAACAAGCTGATTTGGTCAACAGCAAAAGTTGTGGAAGTAGTCAAAGCCTCACCTAATCTTTGTATCCCATGGTCAACTACAAATCAAAGCAATAGAAAGAACAAAAAGTGCAAGAATGGCAAAGAAGAGGTCTCAGTGGGGGCTCACGACTGTCAACTTTTTGGAAGGAGAAGACACTTAACCCAAACTCTCTTTTTAGCATTTATTTTATTCTCCAAGATAAAATCAAAGCACAAGGAGCTGATTAATGATAAGAGGAAGCCCTCTAGAAAGCAGCTTGGGAAAGAACCCAAGAACATCTCTTTTCCTTATATGCAGCCTGCCATTTTCTTCTACCTCACAAATATTTAACCATTTTGGTCAGAAATGTACGGTTCCCCTCTCTAGTCTCCCAGGAAGCACAGAGGTGGGAGGATGGTGACACAATATTAAGGGTGAGGATGCCATGTCACCAGCTCAAGTTTTATGACTGATTTTTCAATTTTATACCATGGTTCAGAAAAGGTATCACCAAGTCCAAGAAGCCATCCAGAGATTGACAAGCAGAAGGATGAAGACATTCTTCAGAAAACAGAAGTTTTTCTAGAAAAAGAGGACATAAATGTAGGAGCACTAAACTGTATTAAACTTACAATGAAACAATGAGACACCAAAAAGATTTTTTCTCCTAGACTGCATCACTAATAGCAATGAGTCCAATAATAAAAATATTTAAATATGCCAGGTGATTACATCCATGTATGACAAATAAAATAAAGAGGTATTGATGGAAAATTAAGAAAGTTAATAACAATTTGCATCTGCAACTCATGATCAATGAGACACCAATCTTTTAAAAGAGATTCAGAAAATTAAAATGTGATACCTTTAATGTGTGTTGTGGATAATTGGGCCGAAGATACTATCTCAGCTGCAATCAAGCATATAGGACGGTGTGCCACTCAATAATGAAGAAATGTAGCCTCTACTACTCCAATCAATAAGAGCTCTAATATCTTAACAATGAATCTATACTTCATCTCTTAGCACACTGAACTCACAATTATTTCATGGCATCATGCAGTCAGGCAATAAAATGAAAAAAAAAAACATTTCAGAAGGAGACATTGTGGAGGTTGCTCTGTGCCAGCGCATCCCAGGCCTGGCTAAATTACCCCCAATTGGGTAAAAGTGGTTTATCTTTGGGTAACAATACATGAACCCATTAATGGTTTTGCAAAGAAAATGACTGAGCTTAGGTCACACAGTCAGTGCAGAACGTTATTTGAAGAAAAGAAGATTTGACATCTTTACTGTTAACAATTCACAATGAACGTCCTGTTGTAGCTGGGGAGGCCATGATGCAATTATTGCTATTTCAAAGTTCCTGCACAGTGTGTGAAGTAGGATTTTTCACTCTTGCCTTTGTAACAAAACTGTTCTGCCCCAGGTACGGACCCCAAAGAACTCAGCACACACAAAGTCTGTACAAACTTTAGTTTACTAAATTAAATCAGTCTTTTTCAAACAAAGGCTGTTAATTAACTTTCTTAACAGCCTACAAGAATCCAAAGAATAAATAATCATAATCTTACTATGGTTGGCAGAAAGCCCAGAAGCAATTTGCAGAGAACTAAGATCAAGACACGAAGGAGAATGAAGTTGTACCCTGCAAATTGCCTTTGTCATCATCCTTCCTTAAATAGGCTAAGGGAGTGGCCAATTAGCCCCAATCCTCCCCTTACTCTCGAGGAGACCTCCTCCTGAGGAGCCACTCCTGCCTTTTGGCAGCTCTGCGCGCCCGCGCATCGACAAGAGACTCCTCCTCTTCTTCCTCTTCACTTATGGGAGCTTCTGGAGGTTCTGAAGGCCCTGGCTGAATCCCCACCTCTGGCACCACATCTTCTCCAGCCTCCTCATTGTTCGATTCGAGTGCCAGCTGCATAGGCTGCTGGCGCAGCACCACACCAGCCTCCTCGCTGTCAGAATCAGCTACTAGCTGCACAGGCCGCTGACCTTACTGTATGCTGAACTCCAAAAATGGTTTGGGGTAACCAAGGAAAAAGGTTGGAAAGTACTGCCATATGCCCTGGATTTAACCAAATATCATAGTGACAGTACAAAATGCTCAAATATATTGGTCACTGCTGAAAAAGATGGAAAGCAGGTTTTTCATTTCAAGGAAAAATCTTGTAAAAGTGACTCTACTAGCCGTGCTCCCAGTCAGCCATTTCTATTACATTACTGCTTAGGCAGAAATAGGTCCTCTTTCAATTATATAGAGAAGAAGCACAAAACAAAAATGCCCAATTAAATATTTAGCAATAGATGTTAATTCCCATACAATACAAAACCAACAAATTACTTCTATTCGAGAATATCAGAATGCAACATGTATTAAACTCTGTCATGACTGCATGCATGCCTAATTAGAGGAAGGGGAGAATGTAAAAGGGAACGTTTATTATTTTTGCTAAAAAGCAAAACCTTAGAAAAAGAAATCAATCCATAACCAATAATTGTTGCATCGTTTAGCTAGAAGATGCAAAAAATGAGACCTATTATTTTATGCCTGAAGATAAGGATGTTTAAATAAATCAGAGTACTTTTTCATGCAATCTTATACATGAATATTTATGAGACAGTTCCACTGTGTTCAATGGGACTTTCTCATAGCTTAGTATATCTAATTAATGAACTCAGTAAGACTTAATTTTGAGTAGACATAGAATTGTACTGGGTTATTTTAACACCCAGAAAACTATCACTAGCCAGTGATTTAGATTCAAAAGGCAAAAAGAGATTTGACGTGGACATTGGCCATACATGTACTGTTGGAAAGAGGTTAAAGCAAGTCTGTCCTCATCTAGGGTTTTGCAAATGGTAGACAATCCTGCAAAAAAATATGCATTTGTCTTAAAGTGTTACCAACAGGCACTATATGTACACCCAGACATGCTCCAAATCTCATTATGTCCTTCAAATCCAGATCTCAGCAAAACCCTATGAAGCACTTTAATTAAAAAAACAGGACATAAAAATGAGCTTGCAAATGAAGATATAAACTACTCTTCAAATTCAACTGCCCTAACTATAGCAACTCATAACAAATTGCATTAAGAACTGGATGGAATTATGCAGAAAGATGCACATCTAATAGAGTACAAGAGGACTGCATTTATTATGATATATTCAATCAGGTAAAATATGCTTCTATCCATGGAAATATGGACTAAGGCAGTGGTGAAATCCAAATTTTTTTACTACTGGTTTTGTGGGAATGGCTTAGTGGGCGTGGCAGGGGAAAGATACTACAAAATCTCCATTCCCTCCCCACTCCTGGGGGAAGGATGTTGCAAAATCTCCATTCCCACCCCACTCTGGGGCCAGCCAGAGGTGGCATTTGTAGTTCTCCGAACTACTCAAAATTTCCACTACCGTTCTCCAGAACCTGTTAGAACCTGCTGGATTTCACCCTTGGACTAAGGTGAAAAAAGGGGGCTTGGAATATGCTCAAAACATATGCTAAATTGACAGGAGAGTTGGGGTAATTTGATAAAATATTTTCCTCCCAAAGATATTTCCTGCTTGAGTAACAGGTTTTGGAAACTGGGACTAAAGCTCAATTTCTATTATTAACATTCTATATGGACTCTTTCTGTAATATGAAGATTGTTCAAACCTGTCCAAATAAAAGAAGTGTTATAGATCAGAAGCAGCAGAACAAACAAATGATTATCCCAGCTCAAATTTCTCTACCATTTTGTTTTGTGGGAGCAGACTGGAATTACCACAACCCATCATAAAACAATACATGGGTAAAAAGCTGCTTCGAATGCTACTATTTCTGTATGTTTGGATGACAATTCTTCATCATCTTCACCTAGCAAATCTGGAGAATGAGGAAAACTGTGCTGGTCCTGTAGAAGAGTATATGTCCTAAGATCCAGATGACTTCAACCCTGCTAATTTTTCATAAGGGACTGAAGACTTGGTTTTCTTCCTGGGTATAGGCCAGTGGTGGGTTCCTCCCGGTTCGGCCCGGTTCTCCCGAGCTGGTAGCGGTGATGATATGATGTCACCAAACCATGGGGGGGCATGCCCCCCACCCCCCATGCCCCCCCCCCCCCCCCCCTTATTCTTACCTTTTATTTGGCCCCATCCCCAATCTATTGCTGCCTCCTGAGTCCCAGCTGATGGCTAGAGGGAAAAAAACTGTTTAAACTCTTGCTGCGGGGCTTCAAAGGGCCGCCCTACAGCTGATCAGTGTTAAAAGAAAACAAATGAGTAGACCAGTGCCTGCAAAAATACATGAGTAGATCAGTGCCTGCAAAAAATAAATGGGTAGATCGGTACAGCTCTGCAAGCAGTTAAAAGCCTGGTAGACCAGTACCTCTGCTAAATCCTAAATAATTGCCAC